GCTATTACCCCACTAAACCATTTAATTTTCATGCATTTGGTTTCAAGCAGAGCTTAAAATGTGTCATGTAAACTGTGCAGCACCTTATAAACTACATGTATTATAATGAGACCAGTAGCATTTCATGCAAATAGTATAGCGAGCATATCAAAACCCAAAGAGAAACCTGCAAGTTTCATGCAGGAACTACTAGTATGGCTGTGCTAAGGTGTCAGTTTTGTGTTAGAATCATCTGTTGTAATGAAAATGTGATGATGATGCAATTCCAGAGCTTTTATAATGATTAAACAACAAACAAAACATGCACCTTATTTACATGCACATGCACAGTTGGATAAATATTGTCATTTCAAAAAGGACAGACATCTCTGGTTTGTTTTTTTTTTTAAATACAAAGGATCTCCCACATAGAGTTTGTGTACAAACCTTTCTAAATAATTCATGCAAGTTCAATGTGTAGCATTTCATTTTAACCATGCAGTGTTTTTCATGCAAACAGCTAAATGTGATACATGCATTTTGCATGACTTGGGTAATAGCATGATTCAGGAACAAGATATATATCTGCTAGGTGACAAAAAGAATAAAAATTCTTTGACAAATACATGTAAGTAATGATTTTGGCACTAAGAAATTCATAAAAGGGAGATAACCTGTTGATATCCTTGGTCGTCTCTGAAGGAACTCTTAAGGTAAAGGGACTGTCATGCTTGGCTGTTTTTGGCTTGTAGTCCCTGGAATAATTCATTATAAAATAAATGTAAGAATATAGCTTTTTCAGAAATACTATATAAATTATGTAATGTAAATATTCAAGAGTTTTAAAAAATATTTCAAAATTTCTACAAGCCTTAGGAAAATACATTGAAATTCACCCCAGACACATAATCAAATAAATATAAAAATTGTTATGAAAGCATTTTTTATTTTTGGTAAATTGAAACTTTTAATATTATAAAAATAAAATATTTCAAACTTAATACATGCATAAACACTTTGCATAACATAATCAAATGCATTAGAACTTTTCGAGTAATGTTTCAACACAATGATCAGTTGTTACAATATGAGCAACATTTTTATTAAAAAAAAAAATAATGAATTATTTGAGTGTCTCAGTAATGAAGCCTTTTATACCTGACCGAGTGTGACATGGTATAAGGGAAGAGTTCATGGATGGAGGTAAATTCACTGGTCCTGTAGTAGTCATAGTAACTATCTAAACATTCCTCACCAGGCGCCATGGCAACAATGGTGCAGTCTGTCGGCTTCTTCTCTGAAATGAACAAAACTTGTGTGAACTTTCAGCAGAAAAAAAAGTGGAAGTATAATTCAGCATTTTCATTCATAAATGAATAAAATGTTCAGGCAAATTTCAGTATACACCTACCTTCCTCATAAGGCAAAGGTAAGGATCTGTAAACTGGCACCTCCCACCACTGAGTGAAACTAAAAAAGTTTTAAAAAATTATTACAGTTGAAGTTCTGTATCACTAACACTAATATCTGGAATACCATGGATATGTCAACTTGAAAGTGATTTTGCAGTTCCAACCATTTTTTCTTTAAGAGTTACTTATGAGACCTTTTGAATGATAATGGTTTCAGACAAATAGTCCGAGATTTAGTGAAGTTATCAAAATGTTAAAGTGTTACCTTTCTTTTCGGACACCTTGTACTTATGAACTAATACACTGCAGTGCTCAAGTAAAATGAAAAATAAAAATAATTTATGAGAGACACTTTATTATGCCAGATATAGCTACCAGCTACCTATAACATAAATACTCCAGCACAGCCCTGACACCTTTGTTGTGGAGGTAGAAGTCAGTGGGCAGCTCCCAGATGTTAGGTTTCCCCTCCTCTGGTGAGTACAGACCCAGGAATATATTGGTAGCAGTCTGCTTCTCTAGGTCTGTCAAACAGTAATTAGACTTTTAATTAATATTATAATTAACTAACTTTTAAAGTTAGTTTATCTCAAGCAATTAGACAGCCAACAGGGGTCAAATGCATGTCCAAGTATTTGTTTCGACTTGACAGTAATGTGATGTAAACCTGATGTGAACTTTGAACTTAACTTTCAAATTAACCTTAAATACAATTAGGATGAAATATAATCAATACCGATTCATTAATCTGAGCTCATTATAAGTTAAAGATAGAACAGAGAAATGTACGGCGGAACAAAAATAATTTGACTGTCATAAAGGTACAGATTAACAATCTACTTTGAATTTATTTTTAATTATTCATATGTAATTATTATCAAATTTTCTTTTGAAGTATTAAGGATGTTTATTATAAAATCATCATCTTTACTACTGTAAAATCTCATATTTTTGTGAGATCAAATTTTTGTGATTTGAGGAAAAACTCTTGGTTCCTGGAAATTGTTAAGTCCTTATGCAATATGTAACATTTTACATTTTGTGGTGGACATAAATTCATGGATCTATTCATACATGTACCTCAAAAACAAAGAAAATTAAACCCCCATGAAAATTTGTGATTTCACAGTATTTTAAAAACACTTCCAATGCAAGATTTTCACCTGAGAATGTGTTGCTGTAGTAACGTGATAGGGTATGCATGATGTCCTTGGAGTGGGAGGTCCAGGGGGCTATTTTCCTGTAGCCCTCGATTCTGTGGACCAGCTGAGAACCCCCGTACTGCAGGGCTATAGTGTCACCATGAGCCTCGTACAGGTGCTCTAGCATTCTACAATCAGAGAAGGGGAAATGATTAAAACAATATGTTGCTTGATCAGAACAAGGACTAGCAGAAGGGAATCTAATACATACAATAATAAAAATTATACACCTGCAGAATACTGTATACAGGGTTATTTTCGCCCTTTTGCACTTCACTTGTGAACAATTACTTTGTCCTATTTTGAATTCGCCCAGTCATCATGGTCATGGTTCTGTTTAATATGAAAATATGCCAGTGTGTTCTTCTAATTCTCCCCATTTTATATTTGCCAACCAAATAGAAAGACAGCAAAAGGGGCAAAATTTTCCCATATACAGTAAACAAAGTCAGATGACCAGTCTGAAGTAAAATGCATCCCCTCCCTCCTTAAAAGAACACATTTTCATGGAATATGTTTAGCTCATGTATGGTGGCACTTATGATGAGCAAAATTAATATTTACCATTTCCCTGGCACAATGCATGATGGAGACAAAACACATAAATTATATAACAAACATACAAAAAATCTCTCAAGCATACAAATATGGACAATTCTACATTTCAAACCATCTATCAAAGCCCAAATACTTTTATTTCTGCCTTGAAAACCACATCTAAAATTCTCTATGAATGATCAACATGCATTTCAAAATCATCTATTTTGTCACAAGCTTTCCTTTGAATTCTAGCACAACCTAATTATAGACTTACACATCTAGAGAATTGTGAGAAGAATCTCTACAACATAAGATTACAATATTTCTGGTTAATTTTCATTCTAAATTGCATTTACATGTAGGTATTAATAGATAAATATAAAAATTCTAAAATAAAAATAAAATAAAATTTATATAGTTACAGATACTGGGATTGAAAGCAAATAAACATAAATTAATTAATATACTGTACAACGTAAAATGTAGCCATCATTGAAAGAAATAAATCATTTAAATGTTCATGACTGTCTAATCAAAGAATAACTGTTACAATGTAAAGGTGGGCAAAATGTAGCATCATTGAAAGACATTTCATTTACATGTACATCACTGTGTAGTAACAAAATTACAATATCAAATAAGGACTTTATAGGAGAAAATCAAAAACTTTATGATAACAGGCCTTTTATAAAGCATTTCTTACTTGAGGCAGTCTGTATCAAACTCCAGGTCTGGGCTGGAGATAACACCAAGAGTGAACAACTGAAAAACAACAAGTTCTTTAAAAGCATATAAACATGATTTTACATCAGTCTACACTGATGTGGTTTATGTAGTTGTATAATGCTTTCATCAAGTTCTGGAAAATAAAAAAGTCCTCAGCTGAATAATACCAGGGGCACACTAAAGAAATCACTGTATTGTGAAATTCAAATGCCCTTTCTGCATTTCATATGGACTATGGATGGATTCTCCTAAATCTCAAGAAAAAATGTCACAAATCAGGTTATTCAGTTCTGCACAAAAATATTTGTAAATTTACAAGAAGTCCTTCCTACATCTACCTTGAGTGCCCAACTCACTAAAGCAATGTAGAGTATCCTGTCTCCCTTATTTTATACCTTAGTTCATGTCTCCCACATTCCTATAGCAAACTGTGCTGTGTTGGTTCCCTTACCTGGTAGCCCTGGACACACCTTCCTATAGCAAACTGTGCTGTGTTGATTCCCTTACCTGGTAGCCCAGGACACACCTTCCTATAGCAAACTGTGCTGTGTTGGTTCCCTTACCTGGTAGCCCAGGACACACCTTCCTATAGCAAACTGTGCTGTGTTGATTCCCTTACCTGGTAGCCCAGGACACACCTTCCTATAGCAAACTGTGCTGTGTTGATTCCCTTACCTGGTAGCCCAGGACACACCTTCCTATAGCAAACCGTGCTGTGTTGATTCCCTTACCTGGTAGCCCAAGGCACTACTTCCTATAGCAAACTGTGCTGTGTTGATTCCCTTACCTGGTAGCCCAAGGCACTACTTCCTATAGCAAACTGTGCTGTGTTGATTCTCTCTTCCTAACCAAGTAGCCCAGAGCACACCTTCCTATAGCAAACTGTGCTGTGTTCATTTCCTTACCTGGTAGCCCAGGGCACACCTCCCTATAGCAAACTGAGCTGTGTTGGTTCTATCAAGACAATCTACACAGTTTGTGCGGACTACCCCCGTCTGTCTACACCCCCAGTCTGTCTTCTGTCCTTGCAGTCCTCTGAACCTACAGTAAAAACCACTGTCATTAGACTTTAAGTTTTAGAAAAAAAGTTCATTTCAATAACAAGAGTTCAATCTTAATATAATACTGTCGATCACTATGTTTTCAGACTTGTGTGAAAATAAAGTTTTGGCAAATACAAAGTGACTACAGCAAGTAGTCTTTTTTTGTACTTGAGAACTTGTTCACTGAAATTTATGAAGGTTAGTTATTATATCTGTGAGGCTATTTCACCAACAGAGATTTTAAGGTTGATTTTTATTACAGTAAATTCAAAAATACATCTCTTACTGAACTTTTATAATATGAAGTTGATTTTATTAATTTAAACCTATTTAACAGAGAGAAATTTTGCTTTGATTTAATATTCACAACTTACTGATATTTTTGTACATTAATATACAAGGACTTTAGGGCTGTATCTCAGCAGCTGATAGAATTTTTTACTTACTCTGCTGTTTTCCAGAAGTCCTCACTGACGGGTCGTGGCATGTGAACAAAGAACCCCGTCATTTTGACACACTTCCTGGCAATCTGGGACAATCGCACCAAGACATTGGTTGTTTTACTGAAGAGTTATACAAACAAAACAATTAGCGTAGTTGAGTATAGAGTAACTTTACCTCTTTTGAAATACCAAACAGGGGCAATCATTCCGATCAACAACTCACTTTTTACATATGTGGCCATATCAAACCCTATTTTGGATCTATAACTTATCTCATACTTATGTAGGCCATATTAAGCTCTATACATGTATATCCAACCTTAAACTCACCTCTTACTTATGGGGTCCATTTTACACCATTTATATCATATCTGTAACTCACCTTTTACTTATGTGGGCCATATCAAACCCTATATATCGGATCCTGTGTTCTGGGGGTAGGAACTGGTTTAGATAGTTAATGGTAGACTTATATTCCCCTGTCAGTATACTCTCATGTTTTCTTCTTTCTCTCCTCTATAAGCACAAAACATCATGTGAATGAATTACTAGCTAAAATTTCACGAATTTAGTCAAGTAATAAAAATGTTAAAAATCATTTTGTTCCAGTGTGTACACTTAAAATGAAAATGAACAGACACAACATTTGCATTTTTAATCCCTCATAGACTCTGGGTGTATAATGACTATCTTTTAATTATTAATGAATTTATGCACATACCTGGTACATGCAAATGCTCAGATTAAATTTGAGCACCTCATGAAGATTGAAATA